GTAATGTTTACAGCAACTCCGGAATTAGCGATCATGCAACAGTTTTAGCCGACATAAACATCACCGCACCTCGCTCTGTCAAGCCTCCTAGGACCATCTTCAAGTAAAACGACTTGGATGAATCCAAGCTGAAAAAATCTGTCCTCGAACTTCAGACCGAATTCATGCAGTCATCTCCAGAAACCAGAACAGTTGAAGCACATTGGGGTATTTTCAGGGACGGGCTGACAAAAATAACTTACGACTGAGTACCACAAAAAAAAAGCAGTCCAGGGACATCCTAGACCCTCATGGCTCACTACTGTCCTTATCCGTAGCTGCAGGAAGAAAGAGCGCAGCTATGTGAAGGCAGTAACAAGCAGTCTACACTCCGACTGGGAAAATTTCAAACTTTTGCAAAAGCAAGTGAACAGCGAAATCCGAAGGGCAAAACGCACACATTTACAAGAAATTACATCTACAAACATTTCATACTTGGAGCATAAGACCAATGAGTTTGTGAGGAACAAGGCCGAGAGTCTTGTTGGTCCCCAGGAACCTCTTCCTGCCACCATGAAGCGACGGAAGCTTAAGTGGTTCGGCCACGTCACGCGGCATAACAGTCTTTGCAAGACTATCATGCGGGGCACTGTCGAGGGAGGACGAAGGCTAGGACGACAACGGAAGAGCTGGGTAGACAATGTCAAGGAATGGACAAACATGAATATGTCAGAACTCCTAGTGCAGGTCGCTGACAGAACAGCATGGAGGAGGCCTTTAGCCTCTTCTGCCCTCGGGTCCCCCCAACGACGGCAACAGTCAAGGGAAACGTGACGTGACATCTACAGATTGCCCCCGGAAGTTTTGGCGCTATGTAAACAACACTCGTAAAGACAACACAGGGGTTCAGGTTCTAAAACTCAACGGGAAAAATATCACATCTGACCAAGAAAAAGCTGAAACCCTACAAGATCAATTCTGTAGTGTTTTCAGCAGGGACAACACCGATGCACAACCAGTTCTACCACCGAGTCCCTACCCAGACTTGACAAACATCACCGTGTCTGTTAGCGGAGTCCTCAAGTTATTGACGTCGCTCAACACCGCCAAAGCCGTCGGTCCCGACAACATCTCAAACGAAATCTTGATACTAGCTGCCGATGAAGTTGCCCCAGTTCTCGCATTCATATTCCAACAATCACTTGACCTGGGTTCTCTACCATCTGACTGGAAGAAAGCCAACGTAACACCCATATTTAAGAAAGGCTCTCGTGCAGACCCGGCAAATTACAGACCAGTGTCGTTGACCTCTGTTTGCTCCAAGTTATTAGAGCACATCATTGATAGCCAATTGATGAAACACTTTCAGGAACACGACATCCTGAACGAAAACCAACATGCTTTTCGTAAAGGCCTGTCCTGCGAATCCCAACTCGTAACAACTCTGGATGACATCTCCTACAATTACGATAATCAAATCACCATAGACATGGCAGTACTCGACTTCTCCAAAGCATTCGACGTAGTTTCTCATCAAAAACTGGTTCAAAAATTAGACTACTACGGGATAAGGGGAAAAACACAGAAATGGATCAAGGAATTCTTAACCAACAGGCTACAAAGAGTTGTGGTACATGGAAAATCTTTTAAATGGCAAAGTGTCGACAGTGGCGTACCACAAGGCACCGTGCTTGGCCCCCACCTGTTTTTGCTTTTCATCGACGACATAAGCAAATCAGTGACTGGCACGTACAACTCGCCTTTTCGCCGACGATTGCCTGTTATACCGGAAGATCTGCTCATCAACTGATGAACTGATGTTCCAAAAAGACCTGGAAAACACCTGGGGAATGAAATTTAACTCCAGCAAATATAACATCATGCGAATCTCCAGGAAGCGGGCCCCTGGCAAAACTAATTACACCATGTTAGGATCCAACCTCGTTGAGAAAACCAACATCACATTTTTGGGAATAATCATTCAGAATAACCTAAGTTGTATTCGTCAAACGGAACATGCCACATCCAAAGCAAGTCGTATATTGAACTTCATCAAAAGAAATTTTCATTCTGCATCCAGATCAGTCAAAGAAAAGCTGTACTTAGTACTAGTCAGACCACGCCTAGAATATGGCAGCATTGCTTGGAACCCTCACATAGCTAAGAACATAACATCCCTTGAAAAAGTGCAACGGAGGGGTGCTCGCTGTGTAATGAGAGATTATTCCAGGCTGAGCAGTGTGACCGACATGTTGACAACCCTAGGCTGGTCTTCACTGGAGGAGAGAAGGAAAGTTAACCAACTTACCTACTTCTACAAAATAATACATAACATAGTTCACATTAACCCATCATCCATAGTCCCCAAACCAGCACGGGTTCGCAGACTTCACAACCGCCAGTTCACAGAAATTGCAGCAAGGACAGACATCTATATGCAGTCATTCCTACCCAGAACTATCCGGAAATGGAACAAGCTCCCTCAAGACACCATAGACGCCCCAAACCACAACACCTTTAAGGATTTAATTTAGTTCCACTTCCCAAGGCCTCCTTGTTAGACTTCCGCGTGGAGTATTCAGGAGGGTAACTACCAAGTACCAAGTACCAAGTAGAACAAACGGTGCTTCTCGAGTAACGTCCGCCATTTTGCAACTAATTTCTGTGAAACGTAAACACCACAGCGCCACCATCGGCCACATGTGCAGTGACATTGCAATGATACTTCTAATCACAGTGCAATAGTACTTCCATTGCACTCTGCGTTGCGCGCCACGCATTGGTACGAAAATTCAATGACATGTGATCAACGATCCACTAATCAGATGACGGGGATTTATTCAGGTGTTATATGATATGATCCATTACATATGTTGACAAGACGATAACGTAAGTGTATTATGGTGCAATATGTACACGTGGATGTCTACTGTGAATAACATAAAGCTTTTGCTGCAACGGTGGATTTTGATTTTCTTTTCATAACTAATTTTAAAGGAATTAGTGTCCCATAACGAATGTGTGTACATGTGTGTACTTGTAATGTGTGCTGCAACCTCGACTCCATGCATTACGTGCGTTTTCCTTTACGAAACCCTGGCCGTGAAAATTACGAAGACGTCGGCGATTGACTATTCAGAATGTACTGCGCGTATCATTTCAAAGATTGCATACACACTATCCGGTTCATTAGTGTGACGTCACATCATTATAAACCACGCCCACTGCACACTCACTAGCACTGGAAACTAGAGTTCAATATGCATGGAAACCATTGGAACCGGAAGTTTATGCAACTTGAGTGTTTAGATTAAGGCAAAAAAAATCGCCGGTTTCTGGTCTGCGCGCGCATCGCCTGGTCTGGTAGCACAAAGTCTTGAATTTACTATACGCCCGAGGACAATGTTTTGTGTTTCCCTTTGTCTCTTTACTATAAAACTCTCCCAAAGACTATGCATATAAATGTACGATCAAGGACCGTTTTCAACAAAATACCCAATGCTCGAAGACTGAAAGGATCTTTTGTTCTCCCTTTGTGTGTCTGTCCTCTATCGTAAAGCCATTAATGTACACGCACACAAGAGCGTAAACACCTTCGTATCGTGGACCCTTTTCTGTCCCTCTTTTGTTTGCACTTCAACTTTTTAGGAAAGCTTCCTGTATGTTTTGTACACGATCGTCAATCGTGAACCTAATGCCCTCTATTGTTCAATGTCCCGTTTTGAATGCAAAAGTAAACCCATGTGTGTGCACCCCAGAGAGAGACACAAAATTGCAATAAGCCGGCCTTAACAAAAAGTCTGTTCGATTCACCACGGCATTAATTAGTGAATGCTGCGTAAAATATGAAGATTGTTTCTCTAACACTGCCTACCTAATACAACATTGCTCTTTCAATTTTGGAGAGATGAATGTCCTACAACTTTACGACGTAAATTGCGGTGTCTATTGGTGCACATACTTTTCTACTGACTAGAGCAATGGGTTACACCTGACCAATCACCATAAATTGAACATGAATGTAATGAGCAGGTATGGGACTCAAAACAAGCTGCTTGATCCAAACAACACCAAATAAGTGGTTCGGAAAATACAGCAGGTTTGATTGAAGAAATCATCGCAAAACATATTGTTCATACCTTGCCGTCGAACTTTACCGAAAACTTGTTGATTTTAACGAGAAATGGTAAGTCGTTGTAAGTCAAACACATGCAGACTGGTACTAATTGAAGAAAATGAGAGTTCTTTTTTCAAAAAATGTACGATTCAGAAATATTCGTCATTGTTTGTCCAACAGTTTTAAGAAGCATGGGAATACAGATATGGGGCGATAATTAGTGACATGGGAACGATCACCACGTTTGTATACTGGAGTAACTTTAGCAATTTTAAGTTCATTAGGGACCTCTCCGGATATTAAAGAGTGATTAAAATATCTGTTAAAGGGTAAACAATAAAAGGAGCAAATCCAAAGTGATTGACGTGAATTTACACATTGCTACCCTTCAAAAGTTACACTTTAAAATCTGTAATAGTGTTTATTGTAGATTGAAGTGAACCTACCACACTACACTGTGCCTACGAATCAGCGTCGCTATAATATGGTTTTCGCTCGACACATATTGACCCTTAATACATACCCGACACACCACATTTTCTCAACGTCTTTTCAGATGCACACAGATCCACAGATCCAGAGAGCATAGATGATAATATAGAAGGTACTTGGAAGTCCCTCAACAGCAGCTGAAGTCTGAGGCTCTAGATATAAACGATACAATGAGTTGTTTTAATGTCATTCAGTTCAATTCAGTAGACAACTATTTTGAACTATCCAGTGAACCAATACAAAGTGGGATAATATAAAGTATAAAACAGTGATATTTAAGTACAAAAAATGAAAGTACCACCATAAACAAAATAATACTTACAAGCTGATTAATTAAAATAAAGTTAATATAAAATATTTTAGGGAAATTAAAGAGTAATTAGAGAAATAATTAAAGGAGAGTGCAAGGCTGTCACATCAGCCAAGGCTTGAAGGTGGGACAGCCTGGACAATAATTATACAACGTAATCACAAGACAAAAAACAGACACAGTCCAACACAAAAAAAAAATACAAACGAAACCAACGTAGTAAAGTCATTTTATTAACCAATACAAGATGGGGGAAAAACGCACAGGGTTAACAATGAAAACGAGGGAAAAAATAAATATTGAATATTGAAAGAAAAACAATTACATTGTAAATAGTATGAGGAGGGATGGTTATGCTACAACAAATTCCGTTTTAGTGTTTGATATAGATTTTCAGGGTCAATAGTTTGAGCTTCTTGAAGGGACACCCACAGTGTTATTGGCAATGTTCGAGTGATGAACTTGTGGAATATGAAATATTTTGACTTAAAACCTTTGGAGTAATTAAAATATTCTAAGAAAACTAGACTGTGCGCTACACGGCCTAATGTTCCAGCGTATGGTTACTTATACAATAAGCGGGTCAAAAAATAACCCAAAGAAAATGTAATTTTTGACCAGGAAGAGTGGCATTTTTACCCGAAAAAGGGAAGTCTGTGTATATAGCATTTAAATTCAGATTGCGGGTCAGTGTGGCACAGATTTTATAGTGTAAATGGAATGGGGAACACATTATGCCCCTCCCTGTCATATTTTTGTTTAACACATGGAAATAAACAGGTTTGGCAAAATACAGAAATAAGACCTATATCAGTTGTTTGTTCTAAACGTACCACGAGATGCGATATATCAAAGTGATCAAAATGGTATTTTAAAGCTAATTTTTTTTTAAATGTTTATCATTCAAACGATGTCAAATAAAAAAAAAATACATTTTAAAGCTGATGAAAGTAAGGAGAAATCACTCAACTTCATGTTAATCAGCAAGGTAAAGACGAGGATTAATATTACTTTGACTGTTGTGTACTCCGGCTTGTATGAAAAAAGGCGATAGGGATATTATTTTGAACAAAACATTCCGAAAATTCCCAATAATTTGCGAGGGTGCAGCAATTTTACGAGGTCAAGGAATCGAGGCAAGTTGGTATACCAGAAAGTTTAATGCTCACCTTTGATTAGCACATCCACATAGGATCTCATTAGTATTTCGTCCTCAGGGAAGACGTGACACCAGTACCTGACGTCATCTTCTTGAAAGCACATGTTTAGAAGAAGTGCGCCCTCTTCAGATATGGAGAAACAGGCGTTGCCAATAAGATCAGACATCGTGTTGGAGCTACCCGGTAGGTTCAGCCTCCCGATCACGGTCGTGGTCGTATGATTGTCAGGATTGGCAAAAGACCAGAACACAGTTACAGGACTTCCGATCTCATACCTCAAAAAAGCTTGACAAGGAAGTATGTAATTTGTCCCAGTTTCGAAGTTGATTCTCGGGCTTTCAAAAACCTTTCCTCCGTCTAATGGGAATTTCGTATCTGAATAATTCCAGTGTTGAAGAAAGAAAAATGCAACATCTGTGGTTTAATGAAAGAACCTATAACAAATGCCTGTATAACGAGCCATCGTGATAACAAAAAACATTTTACCAACGATTACTGAATGTTTTGAGAGTTACTCAAACATTTATCAGCTAAATTCGAAAATGTTGATTGATTATTCAAATTAAAAAGGCAATATGATGTACCTATTACTCTAACATCAATATCAACCTCACTGATTCCTCCGCCTGTATCACATCTGTATCTTCCAGCATCTTCGTCATCAACTGATTTGATGATCAGGCCGAAATCGCTGGCGAATTCGTACTCCGATTCAGCATCGACGTCGTTGCTAGACAGTAGAAAGTGTCGACCTGCCCTGTCGATCTTGAACCACAGTACCTCACAGGTCGCGACACCGGGGATCCAGCTTGAGCATGGCAGTGACTGTTCTCCACCCTCAAGAATGTGGAACGATGTCGAAGATGCCTTGAGGGCGTGATTGGGTGTCTGTTGATCTACATTTAAAAGACAGTAATTAAACAAATAATGCACTCATTGCTGTCAGTGCAACCTATCTTTCTATTCTGCAATGCAAACCAGCGTGATGAAACATGCTCCGCGCCCAACACTGGAAGTCAATAATATAATATGAGCAACTGAAACTGGGAACTAGACTTATTAGCTCTTGTTGTTTGACACTGACTGATAACTGAATATGCGTTTGTTTATTTAAACGCGCGAAAAAAACAATTTTTCAAAAGCACCATTATTTTGGCAATTGCTTTTAGGCACTGAATCAATTTGCACTACCTGATATCTGGACATCGACGTTGCAATTTCTGAGGGTTCCATCTGATTTGAACTCGTGACACCAGAATCTCTGTGTGTCTTGTACATCATGGAGGGAGTTAACTATAAGTGAAGCGTCGCTACCAATGCTGTAATCGGCACCGTGTCCAACCTTCAGGGTAGCACCATCAGAGAAACGAGCACCAATGATCTGTGTATCTGTAGTGACGCCTTCTCCCGTTGACCAGTACACTACGGAGATCGGCGCGTCTGGAGTCTGTGATGCGCACTCACACGGTAGCGTCTGTCTGCGTCCTCGATGGAAGCTAACGGTGGAAAATACCTGACTTCTGCCTCCTGGAAAGGTATCGCCTGCATTTTTGAAGTTGAAAATTGGATAATTTGGTTATATCCTTCATGGTGACTGGATTTCTATTTCAGGCATTCACAGAATATGATTCCTGTAGGGTTTACGGATTATTGTTGATGGTGTTGTGTCTATCCCTATTTAGCTTTGTGTTGGTTCTTTTTTTTTATCACGATTTGCGTTTTAAAAGAAACAACGCATGAATTTGAACTTGGTATGAATTTGAACCATGCAGGAAGGTGTGTAACATCTTTAGACTTTTAAACACGGCTGACGCTTAAGTTACACGGTAAATCACAAGAATTATTCAATTCACAACTCTGATCGACAATAGTAAAGGAATTTTCGGTCTACAGTTCATTGTAATGCAATTAACTTACTTGGATTAGATGGCATGTAATTGACTTGTGCAGCACATGTATCTGAACTACAACAATGACGTTTTTACCTATGACTTGGACGTATACTCTCCCGACCCTTACATCGGTAGTTTGAGGAATAACCTGGCAAAGGAAACCCCCCTCGTCTCTGTCCTCGACTCCATCAATGACAAGTCCGTGATCGGACGACATCGAGTACCTCTCGTCGGCAGGCAAGTCTTTGGTGTGGCTCCATTGCAGGTCTCGACTGATCAGACGCACCGTTGATGTGTCGTTTACAATGGACCCTTGGTACCAGATAACACCAGCTAAACGTTCAGTTGGGCGGAACGTCGGACAAGGAATTCGGTGCCGAATACTCTTTTGGAGGTAGCCAGAGGCGCCAAAGACATTGTTGGTACTCTTCCCTGAAAGCAAAACAATCGTTACTTTTCATAACTCTTTTAATGTATATGTAGTATCCTTTTTTTGGAGACGGATGTTTAAAGGGCCCATGAAGTGAATATTTCTTACGTACTTATTTTGTGATACTTTCTAATCCGCATAAGTGTATGAAAACTAATTGACATCCCTTTGTGTTTAATTTAAGTGAAAAGACTAATGAACTTCTTTCAACATTTAAAATTGTCCATGCTTTTGAAACAACTGAGGGCGCTGTTGCCGTGATGTCATTTGAGTAAGACAATGTTCATATTAGGTCTTTTTCTGTAGAAATTGTGAACCCAAAATAAATGGTCATTAAAAACACTCGTGACTAAAGTTTGCTCATTTGCTTACTGCCATGAACTGGCACAACATTGAATCAAAAGAAAAGAAGGTTACAACAAAATTCTGGCAACTTTTTGTGCACAAACCAATTGCAACATTGAGGTTTCTGCCTGATATGACATCACCTTTTGCTCATCATGAATATGGAAATTTGCATTAGCGTATGAACCAAAAAGGCACCAAAATACCCTGAAAACGGCAAAATAAAAGTTGAAAATTAGTATAAATCGGACACAAATGTGCATTTTACAGAATAGCATTAACAAAGTACATTTCATAAGCTCTTTAAGCAAGACTGACACGTAAATTACGCAGTAAATCACAAGAATTATTCAATTCATAACTCTGATCAGCAATAGTAAAGGAATTTCAGTCCGCAGTTTATTTGAATGGAATTAGCTCACTTGGCTTAGGAGGCATTTTGATTGACTTGTGCAGCACATGTAAATAAAATACAACATTGACGTTTTTACCTGTGACTTGGACGTATACTCTCCCGACCCTTATATCGGTAGTTCGAGGAATAACCTGGCAAAGGAAACTCCCCTCGTCCCTGTCCTCGACTCCTTTAATGACAAGTCCGAGATTGAACGATATCGAGTACCTCTCGTCGGCAGGCGAGTCTTTGAAGTCGCTTCCTCGCAGGTCTCGGCTGATCAGACGCACCGATGATGGGTCGTCTACGCTGGTTCCCTTGTACCAGATAACACCATCTAAACGTTCAGTAGGGCGGAACGTCGGACAAGGAATTCGGTTGCCAGAAGCGACAACGACATCTTGGATACTCGTCCCTGAAAGCCGGAAATCGTTACTAATTCATAACTTATTTAATTTGGTATTTCAATTTGACAAGCAACAATTGACTTAATTATTTAGCAGTAAACTAATTAATATCCAAAGGGAAAAATAGTGTGTATTAAAATATTGTTGTTGTGTTTTCTCAAATCTGTCCCTTTGAAACTGTGTAAGTGCCTTTTTATCGCTCAAAAGTTGATACAATTTGAACAAAAAAACATCAATTGATGAAACTAATTTTGTGTTACAAATTATACAAAAAATAGAAAGTGATTAATGTGATTCTTTACAAAGCAATGCTGAGGTTAACAAGACGCGAAATAATATTCGTTATTTTTCTTAATAACCCAACCATTGAAATTTCCAGCAGCTGACACTAGCGAATTAAAGATAAAGTGATAAATTCTAACATGAACATGTACACCCCAAAACATATATTCATGTGGATAGATAATGTGCAAATACCAGTATAGACCTGAATTCCAGTTGTTCGCCCGCCGCGCACAGGGCAAGCGTAGACAGATATACGGTCTAGCGTCAGCCTGGCCTACGTCTGTACCGATTTGTCCTCAAGTCTAATGTTCAAGGTTCAATTCACTCGTTTTACATGACACCATTATGCAGGTGCACGAATTTGACTTATTGAGTACTTTTGTTTGAACTCGCTGCGGACTTTGTAGTTGATGTACAATACAAATAACAGCCATATTGTTCATGGTGGAAATTCCCTTCTGCGCGCATATGTATGTGTCATAAAAGCGGAATTAAAAGAAATTCCGTTACTTTAGCAAGTTCTCTAAATAACGAAGCGCAGTTGTTTTGCAAAACTGGTGGGATGATACTTTGGCAAAAAGCCACATCATATGCCTAATTGCTTCCAATAAATGTTTACATCAAAATAAAAAAAATGAACCTTTGGCATTTGAAATTTTAAACAAACCACCCCCCCCCAAGATAAGAAAAATACCATGAACCCAGTACAACACACTTACCAACACCGCGACAAGCAAACAATCACATTTGTTAACTATAGGTTTTAAGGGAACTTCTCCCAGACAATGTCCTGCGGTTAATATCAATGAACCAATGATCAAAACGTTTAGTTTAAATTATTACATTTTCTCACCAAGTTCGACGGGACACACGTTGTATTTTGCCGCACAAAACTCCAGCTTTGAGCAACTCAACAACTCTACCACCATTAGGGTACTGATCCATGGTACTGACATGATGAAATTCCGTTACCTATTGATGGACATAAACAAAAAAAGTGTTCACACAGCAGACCAAACTATCAGAAATTAATGCATACCGTTATTATTGTAGTGGTCGGCCCTGCTGTCTTATTCAGAGGGGGGAGACTCGTCCACCAGTTAAGGAGGATGGGAGGCAATCACTAAGCATGGACAATCATCATCGGTTTCTGTCATTAGTTGATTGGTTGATTTATTGATGAGTGATGATCCAGTTGGAGTACAATATTTCAATGGAATATAACAACCCTGTACAATGAAATAGAAAAGCAGACGCTGTGTATTAAAGTTTGCATGTCACAGCGTACACACTATACGTACAATACACGTACATGTACCTTCAGTTTGTTTACAATTTCGGTACAAAATGTGTCGAAAGAAATGCCTAAAATTCTCACCCCGTCGTGTTCAAATCTTTACCTTAAATGACTCCGAAAGCAGCTATACAGCACTTCACTTCAGTTGGTGGGCTGTTCAGATACGGGCCTTCAGATTTTAGCTCGCAAAAGAAGGTTTTTGATGTGAATCTGGCTCACAACATGCAACGGCATGGTACGAGGAAAAAGGAACAGGAAGTGCGAATCCTACACGTAGGCCACTTACTTCCGGAAAATCCCGAAGAAGTCCGAAGCACAAAAACCCAGATTTATTTTAGTAAAATATCATATTTCAGGAGTGATCTAATATTATGAGAAAACTATGAATGTATTTTGCCAACTTATACATGCCCAATAAAATAGTAAGAATAAAGTTTGAGGAATTATAAGAACGTTTTTGTTGTAACTTTGTAGTTGCCGAACGCACTTAGCAACCACGAGTCAGTGACGTCATCATGCTAATGGCGCGTACGTAACTTCTTAAAGGGGAATTCCCAGATCCCTACACGTTCCCTGCTTGAACACCATACGTCCCGTATATGGTGACTTAACTCTCAAATCAAATATCAATATCCTATAAATCAGAATAAGACAATTTTTAGGTCAGTCAGTCCGCAGCGCACGCGATAATGAGGTCAAATCCCGAACTTTATGTGCACGGGCTACGTCACGAATCGGCCACGAGACTTACACGTGTTATTGCGAGAGTTTGGCAGCTTTTTTTCATGAACTACACGTTGCGAATGAAGTAGCGGGTCTCCAAGATGGCGTGGTAAGTCGAAAGTGAACGTTTTTCTGAATCGAATGATATAAAATATGTCGAGATTCGGTAAGTTTTTGGCGGAATTTTGTTCACTCGAAGTTGGGGTGTGATTTTGAGGACAATTTTTGTTGTGTTTTTAGTTCCTGCGCCCTGACTGGACTAGGTAATAATGACGAAAATGATCACCACACATCGATTAAGGAAGCAATGAGCTTTCGTTTGATATGTATTTTAGCTTGTGGCGACATGTTTGTAGTTTTTTTCTGCGACACTTTTCGTGCGCGAGATTTGAAGTTTTTCGGCCATTTCTTTCGGCTTGTACATGCGGATCGTGCACACGAGCACATGTAATTTTTAGGGATTTTTGGCATTTTGGGGCATGTTGGGGGTGGCTGATCTAGTCAATTCGTCATGCATGTTAAATTTTTTTATGTACATTTTTCTCATTTTTTTACAATTTAGGCCTATACAAATTTGTTTATTTACAATTTTTCAATTCATTACAAAATGGGATCATACATTTTTGTTCAGCTGCCAAGCTATTTACTCCAAAATCCATTTCTATCAACTTCTATCATGTGTATGGATGTCTGCTTTTCATGAAGATAGTTAGTTGTTTTTAAATAATTTACAAATAATGTAGGATTTTTTTTCTTAATGCTTCCGAAACGGTTTTTGTTCAGTTAATTTTGGAAAATTCCCTGGGAAAACTATACAACATACGGTGCATTTACGCTATACACTAATTTTCTTTTGGTCATACAAAGAAAAGTCGTGAAGAAAATCCTTTCGATAAATTTACAATTCTCACATTTTTTCTTTCACTATCAATACAGGAACCTGTTCCAGCCAGTTCAATGCCTCGGTCCTCAGTTGTCGTTGACAGTTTCATCGCCTCCAACACGGGAACTGTCACGTTCACTTCAGTGCCTTGGTTGGCATGGTCCTCATTTTATGTCGTTGACATTGACAATTTATCATCTCTCACACAAGAATGTTTTCTGAGACTCAGATTCATGCAGTATTAAGTTCCTGTGTGCAGATTTTATGATTTTTGTACTTCAGTGTAAAGGCCGGTTCATATACTTGGAAATTTCTTAAGACTACGAATGGAAAGCGACATTGACATCATGAAACCTTCGCTTCAAATTTGCCGGAATTGAAACATGCTTAACTTTTGTGAAATTGCAGTGCCGTGATGTCAACAATTTGAATTTGCATTCGCAGAGTATGATCCGGCCTTTATATGTACTGCGTTGTGCAAACAACATCATCACCATTTGTTGTTGCCATGTTAAACACGGTTATTTAAAGTCATGCCACAGATACCATGCCAAAGACAGCAACCAAAGATTATCTAAAATTTACTACATGTAAACATTGCTTCATGTACATAATCGTGATTAGTGACACTATGCCAAAACTGTGGTTATTGTTATCATCTTCACTTCACTGTAAATTGTTTAAATTGAACCTGTTACTACAAGATTTTAGCAGTTTTTAGATTGTAGGAGAGTTGATGATATTTTTGCTTTTGATTTTTGTTGACGTTTATTTCTTATCCAAAGACAGATGTTGTCAGACATGTATGCCAAAACTCATTTTTAAAAAATGTTTTCCCTTCCTTATGCAAGCTGATTTTTATTCTGGCTGGAAACATGGGTATTATTAACACATGTATTTGCAATTTGTGATGTGAGATGTCATGAAAAGAAGTTATCTGAGTTTTCCATGAGTGTTTCAAAGCAAGGATGTGATGGTGTAACAATATTATACAAAACTGATCTAGTATGTTAATGCTTGCAAGTACATGTACATGTAAGTTTGTTTATTTTTCTTTTTTTTATTATAAAAATCTTTGGAAAATAATTAAAAATCTATTTTAAAAATAAAAGTAAAGTGTCCTGGTCAAGACAAACGTTTGTAGAAACTGTCATCAAAGATGAGTCAGCCCAATTAAAAATTAAAATTTAGAATAAAAAAAAGGCATTTTATATGAGAATATACAGTTCTTATATAAAACAGTTCATAACATAAATTCAAAGTTTATAGGATTTTTATAAGTTGTGTTTTGAAAATTGTCTTCAATAAATACAGAAAACAAATATCCCTAAATAACTTCAACTTTGTCACATGTACATTTTTTATATTTTGGATTTTATTATTTGATAAAGGGGATACAATTTTGAAGGGGAAAAACGTCTATAAGTGTTAACTTACATTGGCCCTGGA